GAAGACTTATGTCTGTCTTCTGTCCAGACTCCAACTTCTGATGCTCGACTTCAAGACTTCTCCAGGGCTGCACCATTCCTTTGAAACTCACTTCCCTCCTCCATTAGATGCTCACTCCACTCCTTCAAAAAAATCATTAAAAACCTACTTGTTCATAAAAGCGTATCAATTAATCAGCTCCCAACTGATTGCTCTCTTGCAATTGTCATTAGTCTAATATTATCCTTACCTTTTGTGTCACTTTATCCCACTTCCTCTAGCATGTAAGCTCATTGAGCAGGGCCCTCAACCCCTCTGTTCCTGTGTTTCCAACTTGTCTGGTTACAACTACATGTCTGTTCATCCACCCATTGTAAAGCGCTGCGGAATTTGATGACGCTATATAAATTATAACATAATAATAATAATAATAATAATAATAATAATCAATGTGAGGGAGAAGATGTCAGTCTCTACTTCCTCACAATTTCCTGTCCCTCAATTCAATACAGCAGCCACTCACCCCTCCCTCCTACTTGTCCCTCTTGCCAACCGCAGTGCTCGGTTTCTCTTGTTTTTTTCCACTATGTTGCTGTTTGAGAGCCCTGAGGGAGTGAAGTTCACTATTTCACAGGTGCCTCATTCCAGGTCCCTATTTTACCTTGAAATGCACTGAGTTCCAGGAGGAATGAATTCCCAAGTGAGTGGATTCATTTCATAAGAGCAGCTATTGGATATCTAGGATATGACCTGCCAAAAATGGGGTACAATAGTTTTGTGGCAGTCTTATGCAATGTATGATCATATATATATATATATATATATATACACACACACACACACACGTATATATATATATATATATATATATATACACACACATATACACACACACACACACACATACACACACACACATACACAAAAATAAAGGGAACACAAAAATAACACATCCTAGATAGTGAAGTCCCGAATGGTTCCTGGCGAACATAGCGTGTTCGTGTTCGCCACGGATGGCGAACATATGCGATGTTCGGTCCGACCCCTATTAATTTACTAATACTAAGTAAAAATTACTTAGTATTAGTAAATTGTGCCCCTACTCGCAATACCGCGAGTAGGGGCATGTCTATTAAACAGTGAGCAGCCTGTGGCTGCTCACTGTTAAAAAAAAAAAAAAAAGGGTCCCCCCCCTGAGCGGTGGGTGGGGGCCCTAAAAATAACAATAAGGGGGGACCTACTGTCCCCCCCGGCCCCCACCCCTGAGCGGTGGGTGGGGGCCCTAATAACAATAAGGGGGAGACCTATTGTCCCCCCGGCACCCACCCCTGAGGGGTGGGTGGGGGCCCTAAAATGAACAATAAGGGGGGGACCTATTGTCCCCCCCCGGCCCCCACCCCTGAGCGGTGGGTGGGGGCCCTAAAATGAACAATAAGGGGGGACCTATTGTTCCCCCGGCCCCCACCCCTGAGCGGTGGGTGGGGGCCCTAAAATTAACAATAAGGGGGGGACCTATTGTCCCCCCGGCCCCCACCCCTGAGCGGTGGGTGGGGGCCCTAAAATAACAAAAGGGGGACCCACTGACCCTGAGCAGGGGAGGGGGCCCCCACCCCCAATGGGTGGGGGGGGGGGACCTACTGTCCCCAAAGCGGTGGGTGGGGGCCCTAAAAATAACAATAAGGGGGGGACCTACTGTCCCCCCCGGCCCCCACCCCTGAGCGGTGGGTGGGGGCCCTAAAATTAACAATAAGGGGGGACCTATTGTCCCCCCCCCGGCCCCCACCCCTGAGCGGTGGGTGGGGGCCCTAAATACAAAGGGGGGGGACCTTTAACTAAAAAGCTGTAAAAAAAAAATTATTTAAAAATAACTTACCATTTGATGTTTTCTTCTACAATCTTCTTTTTTCAGCCCCAAAAAAGGCCAAATAAAAAGCCATAAGAACCGACGCAATTAAAAAATTCAAAACAAAAAACAACGAGCGCACAAAAAAATAATCCAATTTCAGCCATGGAGGGCTCCGCGCAGACTGAGCTCTGCAGGGCGGGGGAAGGCTTATAAAGCCTTGCCACACCCTGCAATTAGGCTAAGAACACTCTGATTGGCAGGTTTAAGCCAATCAGAGTGCTCTTTGTCATTTTACACAGCGTGGGAAAATTCAAAAGAAATTTCCCACGCTGTGTAAAATGACACAGAGCACTGTGATTGGATGGCTTGAAATCCATCCAATTACAGTGCTCTGTGTCATTTTAAACAGCGTGGGAAAGTTCAATTTCCCCACGCTGTGTAAAATGTCACAGAGCACTGTGATTGGATGGATTTCAAGCCATCCAATCACAGTGCTCTGTGTCATTTTGCGTCGGTTCTTATGGCTTTTTATTTGGCCTTTTTTGGGGCTGAAAAAAGAAGATTGTAGTAGAAAGAAAACATCAAATGGTAAGTTATTTTTATCTAATTTTTCTTTTTACAGCTTTTTAGTTAAAGGTCCCCCCTCATTATTTTTAGGGTGAGGGGGGTAGGTAGGGAGATAATTTTTTTTTTGGGGGGGAGGGGTGACTAGGGTCCCCCCCTTTGTATTTAGGGCCCCCACCTACTGCTCAGGGGTGGGGGCCGGGGGGGACAATAGGTCCTCCCCTTATTGTTATTTTTAGGGCCCCCACCCACCGCTCAGGGGTGGGGGCCGGGGGGGACAGTAGGTCCCCCTTATTGTTATTTTTAGGGCCCCCACCCACCGCTCAGGGGTGGGGGCCGGGGGGGACAATAGGTCCCCCCCTTATTGTTAATTCTAGGGCCCCCACCCACCGCTCAGGTCCCCCCCCATTATCATTATGGCGTGGGGGCCGGAGAGGGGGAGGACAGTATGTCCCCCCCTCATTATCTTTATGGCCCCCACCCGCCGCCCAGGGGTGGGGGCCGGGGGGGAGGAGAGTAGGTCTCCTCCCCCCCCCCTTCAACCAGAAAGAGTCCCTGTGGGTTTTAAAATTTGCCTGCCTATTGAAGTCTATGGCGGTTCGCCGGGTTCATCCGGTTCGCAAACATTTGCGGAAGTTCGCGTTCGCGATTCGCGAACCGAAAATTTTGTGTTCGCGACATCACTAATCCTAGATCCGAATGAATTAAATATTCTTCTGAAATACTTTTTTCTTTACATAGTTGAATGTGCTGACAACAAAATCACACAAAAATTAAAAAATGAAAATCACATTTTCCAACCCATGGAGGTCTGAATTTGGAGTCACACTCAAAATTACATTGGAAAAACACACTACAGGCTGATCTAACTTTGATGTAATGTCCTTAAAACAAGTCAAAATGAGGCTCGGTAGTGTGTGTGGCCTCCACGTGCCTGTATGACCTCCCTACAACACCTGTGCATGCTCCTGATGAGGTGGCGGATGGTCTCCTGAGAGATCTCCTCTCAGAACTGGACTAAAGCATCTGCCAACTCCTGGACAGTCTGTGGTGCAACATGACGTTGGTGGATGGAGCGAGACATGATGTCCTAGATGTGCTCAATTGGATTCAGGTCTGGGGAACGGGCAGGCCAGTCCATAGCATCAATGCCTTCATCTTGCAGGAACTGCTGACACACTCCAGCCACATGAGATCTAGAATGGTCTTGCATTAGGAGGAACCCAGGGCCAACCGCACCAGCATATGGTCTCACAAGAGGTCTGAGGATCTCATCTCGGTACCTAATGGCAGTCAGGCTACCTCTGGCGAGCACATACAGGGCTGTGCGGCCACCCAAAGAAATGCCACCCCACACCATTACTGACCCACTGCCAAACCGGTCATGCTGGAGGATGTTGCAGGCAGCAGAACGTTCTCCATGGCGTCTCCAGACTGTCACGTCTGTCACATGTGCTCAGTGTGAACCTGCTTTCATCTGTGAAGAGCACAGGGCACCAGTGGAGAATTTTCCAATCTTGGTGTTCTCTGGCAAATGCCAAACGTCCTGCACGGTGTTGGGCTGTAAGCACAACCCTCACCTGTGGATGTTGGGCCCTCATATCACCCTCATGGAGTCTGTTTTTGACCGTTTGAGCAGACACATGCATATTTGTGGCCTGCTGGAGGACATTTTGCAGAGCTCTGGCAGTGCTCCTCCTGTTCCTCCTTGCACAAAGGCGGAGGTAGCGATTCTGCTGGGTTGTTGCCCTCCTATGGCCTCATCCACGTCTCCTGATGTACTGGCCTGTCTCCTGGTAGCGGCTCCATGCTCTGGACACTATGCTGACAGACACAGCAAACCTTCTTGACACAGCTCACATTGATGTGCCATCCTGGATGAGCTGCACTACCTGAGCCACTTGTGTGGGTTGTAGACTCCGTCTCATGCTACCAGTAGAGTGAAAGCACCGCCAGCATTCAAAAGTGACCAAAACATCAGCCAAGAAGCATAGGAACTGAGAAGTGGTCTGTGGTCACCACCTCCAGAACCACTCCTTTATTGGGGATGTCTATCCCATTTGCACAACAGCATGTGAAATTGATTGTCACTCAGTGTTGCTTCCTAAGTGGACAGTTTGAGTTCACAGAAGTGTGATTGACTTGGAGTTACATTGTGTTGTTTAAGTGTTCCCTTTATTTTTTTTGAGCAGTGTTTATATATATTTTGATAGACAGACAGACAGATAGATAATACAATGTTCATAAAAAATCTGGGGGGCGAGAACTGAATGCTGAGGGGGCGTGGCCTGAACGGTGAAGCGGATGATCACACGGCACTAGCGCTCCGCTCCGAGATTAGCCTACAAAGCGACTTAACCCAGCAACTGTGACTAAAAAAGCTACCCCCACTTGCCCCACAAGCAGCATGGCACAGCAAAAGGGTAAGAAAATCCATGAACAGGGGGACTAATCAGGCTTTTTCACAGCGCGATCAGCGCCGAACAAATCCCAAGGCCAACATGAGGCTGACCAAGATGGTGGCGGAGATGACACTCTCCCCCTGCAACACTCACCCAACCCAGGGAATCTCCCCATCACACAAGAAATCCTGAGAGCATGCCTGGACGAAATGTCCGATAAACTGTTGAATAATATTCAAGCATCGGTTACTGTGCTCAGTAAAGACATCCAGGAGCTGGGCAAAAGAACAGCCCACGTAGAGCACCGCATGGGCGAATACGCAGAAGCCCACAATGACCTAGCAGACCACATTCAAGCCCTGGAAAAGCAACTCACCTCAGCCCAACTTAAGCTCTCTGATCTTGAAGATAGATCACGGCGGCAAAACTTAAGAGTGCGGGGAATACCGGAATCGGTAACGCAAGCCAACATACCTGAATTCTTAACAGGGTTTTTCAAGAGCCTTATACCGGACATGCCAACGGATATGATTCTTCTTGACCGGGCTCACCGTGTGGCCAAACTGAAGTTCCTGCCCGCAGACGCAGCAAGAGACACGCTGACTCACCTACACTACTATCACGTCAAAGAGGCCATACTGAAAGCTGCAAGGAACCGCACAAACCTTCCACAACAATATAACCAGCTACAGATATATGCAGACCTATCAGCGGCTGCCCTACAACGGCAAAGGGACTTCAAGGTGATAACTGACACCCTGCAGGAACACAAGATCCCCTATAGATGGGGCACCTGGTATGCCTGATCATCCAGCGTAATGGAGCCTTTACCCACGCGACAACACCAGAAGAAGGATTAAAGGCCCTGAAGCAATGGGGTTTACCTGTCCGCAAACAGCCTGGGCATACAACCTCGCCATAGCGAATAGAACAAGAGTGGAAGAAGGCAAGGAAATAACCCACCCTTCACTTTCTTATATCCAGACATGGGTGTTACAGATTCAGGACTGAGAAGCGATGCTTCCTGATTGTGGACATATCTATCTGGTATCAGTATACAATCCCTCACCCCCTACAGCACATCCCTCACACTTCACACTCATACCTGCACTCACAGGAAAAAAAAAACAAAATATATATAATAAAAAAAAGCAGTTTTCTCACCCTTCGTATTACTGATAAGGGAGGACGCAGACAACCAGACACTCCTTTCGAAACCAGATACATTTTGCCAATGAACATGCCACTAAAGGCCTATCATTCTCTTACTTGGCAAAGTTAACCACAGGATGAAGGTGTTTTACCGCCTGACTTGACCTATAGGCTCGACACCTGTCCAAGTCTGTGATTTATGTTTGTAACTTTTGTATACATAATGAAAAAAACGAACAAACAAAAAAAAATACAATAATGTTTGTAGAATTGTTCAGAAATGTTTTAGGGCTAATCGCATACGATACTTTGTTTATGTTTTTGAAGTTGCCAACCTCCGTAGTACCCACTCAGGGTACTCAGCCCACTTTGGGCTCCGCGGTCCTAACCGCACTGTTTCTCCTTTTCTCTTTTATAAATTTCCTACCTTCCCTCCCTTACCTAGACCAACCTAGACCCTATAAGGGGATGTTCCCACATAAACTCAGGGCTCCAGTACTGGTACAGAAGTCTCAAGAAAGGACACGACCCGCCACGGATACAAGCCACGTGAAAACTCCACAGCCTTTGCATGTCATAACTGCAAGTATACACCCCACTTCACCATTATTTACATACATCACAATAGACTTAACTTCTGGGCCATACAAGGATACTCAAGGGAAATACAATACTTATACTACTGGCAACATAACCAGCGTCTCACATATGCCTTCCCTTTATGAAAATATATAGCCACAATGTCAGGGGGCTGAACACCCCTGTTAAACGCCACCTCCTATTCCAAGACCTTCAAAAATCCCAACCTGATGTAGTGTGTCTCCAGGAGACACAATTCACCAAACCACACAACCTTAAACCCCTCGCATACCCATATCAACTTCACGCTATGGCAAAATCCAAAACAAAAGGGGTCTCTGTGTTAATAAGCAACCGAGTAGCATTCATAGAACATGACCTAGTCATAGATGAGGAGGGCAAATATATCATACTAATTTGCACCATCAATGATATTACCTACACAATAGTAAATGTATACGCACCCAACTCAGAACAACGCAACTTCCTACACAGAACACTAGCTAAAATAGCGCCTATCCAGAAGGGAATGTTGATAATATGTGGAGATTTTAACCACACTCTGGACCCTGGCTTAGACTCATCCAAAGGATCAAGTACACAGGGAAGCACCCCAGCCAGGAGACAACGCAAAACATACTACTAGACGAACATAACCTCTATGACGCATGGAGGGTCCTCTTCTCCTCGGTTTATAACTCCTACACCTGAATCGACAGGTTCCTCACTGAGGGAAAACACTTAACGCAGGTACTCAAATGTTCCATAGCGACAATCGCATGGTCGGACCATGCACCCATCACCTTGGAACTAAAAGACAAATTTGAAAGCCCCAAGAGAAGCCCTTGGTGTTTGAACGAAACACTATTACACGACAAAACATTTACAAAACACATAGAAAACACGCTCACAAACTATTTTAAAGTAAATACCACACCAGAGATCTCTACGTAAACAACCTGGCTAGCTCACAAACCCGTCATACGCGGGGAACTGATAAAAAGAGCCCACTACCTCAAACGGACGTCCCATATCCAACAGGTCACCTGGTACAAACAACTACATGATCTTAATAAACTAAACCAAACAAACCAGTCCCCAGAGTTAAAAAGCCGAATCTCAGAAACACAGGATAAAATACAGACTTTAACACTTACTACAGTAGGCTACTCACTAAGGAAATTAAAAGCCACACACTACTCTGCGAGCAAAATACTAGCCCAAAATACATCCAAAATAACACACATACAGACACCAAATGGAGACAGGCTCCAAAAGCTATAAGCGACGAATTCGCCACGTACTATGAAACTTTATACAACCTTAAAAATAACCCACTAACACCCTCAACATCCCCCGCATCTATCTATGAATACTTAAAGGATTCCCACTTGCCAACCCTCTAACAACAGCATAGAGAAGCCTTCTCAGCCCCCATCACTCAACAAGAGGTAAAGGACATAATAAAAACCCCCCTACAGGCAAAGCCCCGGGTCCTGACGGATTCGTGAACACATATTACCATTTCTACGCAGACATCTTATCCCCTGCACTGACTACCTTATTCAATAACGCCATAGATAAACACTCATTACCCATAGAGCTCTTGCAGGCACATATTACCTGCCAAAACAGGGAAACCTCCGACCGCATGCCCAAATTTCCGTCTGATTTCTCTACTCAATACAGATGCCAAGCTATTTGCAAAACTGTAGGCCAACAGACTTAAAACTATTCTACCAGAACTAATACATGATGATCAAGTAGGGTTTGTAAGGGGCAGACAGGGCTCAAATAATACCTGCAAGGTACTAGACCTCATGCACAGCTCTAGAAAACTAGGGCCGCTTCATGTTCCTTGACGCTACCACATGATCCTACAAGGCCAACCACTAACACTTGAGCACTACAAAAAAGCTTGGCACAAAGAATTAGGCACAGAGTTAAGACCAGAGCAGCGGAAAAGAGCTTACACAGCACATAAAGGCATAACATCGTGCGCCCAACACGTAGAGATACAACGGAAAATATTATACCGTTGGTACTTAGTACCGGAAATGATACACAAAATTTGGCCTGCCTCCTCGAACATGTGTTGGCGTTGCGAGAGGGAAGTGGGCACGATGATCCACATATGGTGGACATGTCCCACACTTGCTCCTCACTGTACACAAGCCCTCCAAATCATGTCGGATATGCTCGGTCACCAGGTAGAAAAAAATCCTGCACTGTGTCTGTTGTACAGGTTTCCTGAGAGGATGTCCAAAACTCACCGGGCGTTAATATACCATACGCTTACATCAGTACATATCCTAATAGCGAGACATTGAAAATCTAGAGAAATACCATCGCATACACACCTATTAAACCAAATTGCACTCAATTGGACATATGAAGCCATGCACCAACACCAGTTTGGCCCAAGACCTACAGTAGCGAAGGCAAAACATATATGGGACACATACAACGACCACACTGATAACCCAACGACATAATGGCTGATGGAAGGTACGAACGGCATCCGTGGTGTGGCGCAGATGAGATCCGGTCCTATCACGAGAACAAACAATAACTCGGCGACGGACGATACTTGCTAGCCATCCTCCCCTACGGACACAGGTCACCCCGCCAAACCAGCAGGACAACCGAGGGTCATCCCTTCCCCATTCCCTTGATAACCCCGCATTACCCCCTTTTCTTCCTCTTTTTTCTTTACTCCCCCTTCAACACTAAACTTCCCACAAAATGCTTGGGGCATGTAATATGCATTATTTATGTATGTAAGAAAAGAGACAGCGCTAGTTAACTGACAGGCAGCAACCTTAAAAAGGGAAACCCTCCAAACCCTTTTAAAACAAAACGGATAAAACAATAGTAAAAAGGCTGCGCCACAGGAAGGCTAAAATAAGTTCGATAAATAAAAAGGTCCAACTTAAGTGTCCTTGCGAATAGTCTTTATCACAAAAAGTGCAGTGTTGAAGTCTTCATAAACTGTATTAGTTCCACTTACATAGAAGACAAAAAAGAGAGAGAGAGGGACGACCAATAGTGTAGTATTGTATAATTCCAGTGGTGACGTATTAGAAAAATAATAGATGAGAACTCACATTTAATAGAGCTTATGTCCAGCTCTAGGGAAAAAGCGCATACAGCGGTATGATCCCCTCTTGTAGGATATGTCGTGGGTATCTCTCCGTCAGTGGTGTCCAACTTTCAAATAAGGAAAAAAGAGACAGCCGATAGTGCTCACTGTATAGTAGTCTTAATATAGGTAGATAAAAACGTACTTACAAAAGAGGAGCAGACCGACTGCTCTTATGTGACAGCATGTGTGGATTGATCCCCACCTCTGGATTTCTTGGAGTGCAGGAGACTTCCGAAGTGGTTGTTGGTATATAATAGTACATAAAATACTAAAAAATATACTAAAAAATACTAAAAAGCCAGGGTTAAAAAGAAAGAATAATGTGTATATAAAACTAGAAAAAAAGAATAATTGGAACAAATAAATGACCAATAATTACTTTAATATTAAAATACACAGTAAAATATCATATATCCATAACGCGTTTCGTCAATAGACTTTATCAAATGGAATTACATACAATGCCTGGCTAATTGTATTATATAGGAGTTTAGATAATTTTGATTTGTCGCCAAAATTGATCTATCCAATCACAATTAAGTTACTTTTAGCAGTGTAAAATCTTTAAAAAACATCAATACAAATAAAATATATGGTGTAAGAACATTAGTACTATACATGAATATCAAAAACGAGGGTTAGAAAAGCATAAAATCTTCGTTTGAAAATGAACATGTGACGTGCGGCACTTCCGGTTTTCGGACATAATGCCGCAATGCCTAGTGGGAAATGTAGTTCACGGACCGCAAATGGCGGCCGTGAGTTAGGTAGGGTAAAGAATAGGCACGGCCATATTGAGAGGGGCTTAGATAGAAGAGCCCACATAGGGAGGAGAATGTAGCCATATTGAGAGGGGCAAGTAATATATAAAAGACCATATTTGGAAGGGCACAGTATATCTATAATCAAATAAAGAATAGTAAGATTAAT